TCCCTTATTAATGACAATTAAAACCTTACTACTGATGCTAAAATATTGCTAATAATGTTTTAGCTGATAGTCATGATATGGGTAATCTTAACCGTTCTGCGAGTGATACAACCAAATATTTAGAACTTTAACTTTATCTTCGGTTAGCTGATTTATCACTTGCATTATGCTTTGGTTGTAATAATTGTATAATTGGTCTCGTTGTCAGGGCGACCTCGAATTATGCACCTTGTCGGGCCTCCTATCTCCTATTAGTCATTACACTTTTCTGCATCTAACCTTGAAATTTGTGTATGCCCAGAAGTTTCGCCTTGCCTAGTTACACAAAGCGATAAGAGCAGTCCATCTCTCGACCAATGTTCTACTTTCCTGATACATTTATCATGCCTTTATCCTCGCATCTCATCCACTCTATTCCACAACTTCTAATTCGCCGACTTTTTCATTTTTCGTAGAGCCTTGATATTCAGTAAATCAGATATTGGAGATGTGTTCATCCTATTTCATATAAGGTGTTGAAGGACCGGCATTCGAATTTTCCCACAACCATATGAGTAGACCTTACGTTTTCAGATTGGTGTGGAAATCTTAGCGGGGTTCGAAATACCAAAGAGCAACATATGGTTACCCACTACGTCACATTGCTACGAGTGTCATTTGATCACAGTGTAGACGTGAATTTCAAGGAAGACCAGGCATTTTTACATATCACATTCTGTGGTGGAATTTCGGCAAATCATAGATCTGATTTACCGGTAATCTCGAAAACCTACTCAAAACGGAAAATATTTAATATAATCAATTCCTATTGTTATCCTACCATAGAAAGTGATGTGTGAAAATGTCTGATCTTTCTTAGTATTGACATCTGTCCTGTGACCAGAGCACTTGTGGCCATGTTCCGTAGTGTTTAACGTGTTGAGATTATATGCTTCACTGTCATGGTTATAGATTTGTGGAGGGTTCTGATCAGACCTAGGGGAGGGTGGAAACTGCAGTCCCCTTCTTCGTGAATAAGAATACCTTTTTGGAAAGAAGGGCTATGCAAAAATTCATGGGAGCGTCATGTTACACATATCATTGTGGGAAAATTTAACTATCAGTCCTTCATTATACATACCGAAATAGGTTGAACGCATGTCATATTAATATTTTACTTACCCTGAGCAACTTTAGAGGTAGATGTTTTTAAAGGAAAATATCATTGCAATTATGGTAGAAGACTCTGGACAAGCTAAGTTAACCGGGGTCTCCTTCGCAGCACAAGCAAATCGTGAAGACCACGTTAATTCAATTCGACAGGAGTCTTCATATTATCAAGAAAGTTTCAGTATTTATTTGATAGAATGGTCATTATAGTTCATCATTCAGTTGATATTTCTTCGCCTAGGATTATCCTTAAGCAGCCAAAGGAACCTTTATATTTTTGAATGATGAAAAGGACGCGTTGGGTCGCTTAAGACTAGTGCAGCTTATTCCCTCGAATTTGTTTTGATTGGCAGTGCAGTATTGTCTTTTCTCCTCTCTTTAACGATAATCTCTTAACGTTAAATCAGGTTTTCAATCTGCACCTTCTTCTATCTGGTCTGCGCATGTCCACCTGTGTGGATCCTGAAGCTGCAACACATGGACGAGATGAATCGGAGAACCGAGAATGCAACCAACATGGAAGTTGGCTTTGGCCCCCCACCCGAACTGATGGGAGTAGACTATAACCCTCGACAGAATGTAAGTATTATGACCGAACAGTACTGGATACGAATTTATAATGCTTCATTTGTAAACATGAGAATAATGATGGTCCGTTTCATTTTACTTCTAGCCTAACTATCATAGGCAAAGAGCATTCTGCCCAAGAAATTAAAAATCGACTCTTCACCTACAACTCTGACAGGATGCTGATGAGGAGTTGACTGCTAATAACGTATCTCTATACATTTATCTGGCACGGATTGGGGCTAGCACTAAACTACCGAAACCACAGACTAAACTATTTTTCAACATCTTTTTAGAATGACATTTCGAGAAGCGCGTCATTGTCTCTTAAAGATAATTGCAGAAGACCTTTGAATGGATACGTACTTACTGAAGGGGGATTCCATCTTCACCCTTTGGCAACTAAAGTCGGCGGATCCCCTGAGAGAGCATAAACTCAGAGGTCTGGTGTATAGGGGCTATCAGAAACGCACTGTCCAGGACTGCGCCATCCCCAAGCATCATCCTCCATATAAGCTATGGCCAGAGGAATTCGCAGCAAAGGTATAAGGTCCACCGTAAATTTGGTCATTATTCCAACAAAAAGACATCACAATAGACATTTGAGATGACCAAGAATTTCAGGCACACAATCCAATTAAGTGGGAAAAAAGGGACAATTTTGATATCTTAATCTGAAAGGCTAAGATTGTATCCAGCCAAGTCTAGTAAACTAAAATTTCGCCTCGTTCCATACTCAAAAGATATGCAAGAGCATATCGGTCCTCAAACTAGGGTGACTGGGTCCATATTAAAGAATTGCGGATATACTTGCGAACTACTTACTCTTAAAATAAGTAGCATCGTATATTTCAAAGGCAATTAAATATTAGCTTAATCTACAATCCAACTGTGCATATGATTTGAGCTAGTTCCAACTTGCCTTGAATGTCACATCTGTCCAGTGACTCTCTAATATCCGCGACTGACTGGCGAAGTGATAATGTTGCCACGATACTCCTGATCCGGTATCTGATCCTGTCGGAATGTGAGGGAAGGCTAATTGAAATTCAATGGCATCCTGAGGTATATTGATATGATTGTGGGAATATTCAACCGGTAATTTCCTAATCATCTTAAGAGACCTGGGCTGATCAAGTCCATCATGAAGACTTGGTCTTTCTCCTATTTTCCCCAGCTTATCTGGCCAAATTTTATGAAGGCTAAAAGTTTGTTTTTTTATATATTTCGCATCAAAATTCCTTGGTTATTAAACAATAAGAAAAGGGCTACCCTTAGGTCGCTTAAGTAGATGTAGAACGGATATTTTAATATCACTAGATTAAACGAGCATAAGCCTTCACGAAAGCATACAATCTTTCTTAGCCTCTCCGCCCCCAAAAAATGCTCTTTCGTCTGGCTCGGATTTTGGTTCCAACTCTGCTTAAGTCTCACTATAACCTCAACAGTATTCAAAAATAGGCCGCATGTACTATACGGCAGCTGTACTATTTCGCATTGCCCGATTTTGAGTTTAGGCGAGGGTGCGGTTGCTGCCCAAACAAGGTCAAATATACAAATGGGCCGGATAAAAATACTTAAAAAGG